TTGGACAGGTTTTTGAGATACGACGTTCGACATTCGTATCCGTCAGATGGGCAGACTAGCACTAAAACTACACTTTAAGTATTCTGGCTCTACCTCAGCAACGAATTGACGAACAGCGCCCAAACTAAACATGAATGTAGAAATAGGAACAAAGTTCACTAGCACAGAAATCGAATGATCTACATGCAATAGAAATCGAAATAACAATTTTTAACTTTGAGCTCGAGTTTTTTCTTTGAAAAAGCCTGCTCCGTGTATACGAGATCATATTTTAAGTTGCGCTCGATATAATTCGTCTAAAATTTTCACACACATTTGTAATACCACTAATAACAAGGTTCAGAAATATTTTAGAAAAAATAGGGCTGGTTTGCGAAATATTCAAGTTTAAGTGTTTTACAGGATTTCCCCATAACTTTGAATAAATTACACTCGATTTTCATGAAATCTATATATAACATATTTTGGTCTTTTATCCTTCATTTGACAAAATATTGACCGGATCAAAGCAAAATAAATTGCATTTCGATGCGTTTCTTTCGTCATGGTCGGTATTAAAATTAACTGTCCCCAGATACCTTAATATGCAATCATGAAAACAAAATTGAATTAAAACCTTGAAGATAGTTTTCTTGGGATTTTTATATAGTTCAATGTTTTGTTTTAGTGCAATGAGAGATTTAGAAACAGAAAGAAACCAAAGGCAAAGTGAACTTCAATCAAAAAGAGAGGAACTTGAAGCAAACCAGAGACAACTTCAAACTACAAGTCATCACAGAGAACAACTAGAAAGAGCAATAAGTAGAGAGAAAGAAAAGTCCTATGGATTGAGGTATAATATGTAACTAGTTGTAAACTCAGAGACACTGAGAAGGATGTACTTCAATCACTTTTAGTTGTTATATTCATTACTATTATAATCATTGATAGGACTGATATATCAGATGCTGGGAGATCTGTTGATCAAATTCAAAGAAACCTGCGAAATCTGACAAGCAGTAGAAGCAATAGAATGAGGATCTTTGGGGCATACGTACCAGAGTTGTTGAATAAAATTAAACAAAATAGACGACAATTTCATCACCTTCCAGTTGGACCAATAGGTAATGCATGTCACATGATTTCAAAATGTCTTTGTCACAGTAGCAAGGTCCCAACCTATCTATTTTATATTAATACCATTCTTTATATTTCAGGGGGTCATCTTACACTGCGAGACCAAAAATGGGCCCTCTCGGTAGAGTCATGCATAAAGGGTTTAGCATGGGCATTTTGTTGCCATGACAATCACGACGAACAAGCTTTAAAGAGGATCATGCATGATGTTTGCCCTAAGAATACCATACCACAGATCATTATCAGTAAATTCCAAGAAAGATATGATGTCTCTGAAGCAGTAAGTGATTGAATTTAACATTAATCAGTTTGTTATCATGAACAAATCAGCCTCAGTTGACAATACGTTTAAATCAATAGCCGATTTGCAAATTTCTCCTCAGTAGTCAAGCACAAAAGAATCAAGAACGAGGCGCAGTGCTTAAAGCTCAGCCAATTGTGAAAAACTATTGTTTTTTCACAATTGACTGAGCTTTATGCATAATGCCTTGTCATGATTCCTTTGTGTGTGAAAACTGAGGCAAAATTTACAAGTCAGCTATTCACAATATTTTATTATTTAGAGACCACGTTGTAACTACACCACAGTCCTTGATGAACTTGTCATTGATAATCCTGTCGTAGCCAACTGTCTTATTGACCAGGTGTGTACAGCATTGATTGATTAATTGATTAATTGATAGGATGATTGATTGATTGATTGATTGATAGGATGATTGATTGATAGGATAATTGATTGATTGATTAATAGGATGATTGATTGATTGATTAATAGGATGATTGATTGATAGGATGATTGATTGATTGATTAATAGGATGATTGATTGATTGACTGATTGATTGATTGATAGG